TGCTGTCACCATCAGCTGGCCTGCAAACTTATCCCCTGGAGGCCCTGGGCTCACGCCTTCTTAAATGTGCACACACACACACACACACACACACAGTCTGTACTGGCACACTACATTTGCACCCAGGATTAAAAACCAGACAGCCTGGTTCTACACTTCCCTGGTTACAACAGTGGCTGGCACTTAATAAACACTAATAAATGTTTGCCATGGCCATTTTCTGTTGCAATCAATGCAAAAGGCAAAGAGGACTTGGAAGTTGTTGTGGTGCCTGACGAGGCCAGGTTAGAGGGTCCCAGAGGTCTGCAGTGACTCCAGTGGGAGGAGACAACGGCTCTGTCAGTGTGACGACTCCTGGGTGGAGTCCGCAGGGCTGTTTGGCCACAAGCCTCCCAGGTGAGACACTTGGGCTTCTAGGTATCTGGGGACCTCGGAGAGAAATGGGCAAGAATTAGAGCATCTCTCCTCCCAATCCTTTCGAGGAACCCAGGACACCATCGGGGAGGTCAGCAGTCAGACGGGAAGATTGCTGGCACTCAGAGAGGGGGTGAAGGGGAGTGGCTAGTGCCTGAGCGCCCTTCATTCACAAGATTAGAGCACTGCGCACACCATGCACTCGACGCACAGGGCGGAGCCCCCTCAGGAAGTTCCCTTGGTCTGACAGAGCCTGTCCTCCCCTCGTCACACCCCTGGTGAGGGGAGCGTCACCATCTTACAAGGTGGAAAGCGAGGCCCTCCATGAAGTGGTGACCTGTGGCCTCAGGAAAATCAAGCAGAAGCAATCAGTTGGTTAGCATGTCTGATAAATACATATGAAGAAAATGCTTTGACAGTAAAAATGCAGGACTCGGGGCTCTGGGATCCTTAGGGGTTGCAGGGATGGCCGATCGTGGGTTTCTGAGACCTCAGAGAAGCATATGGGTTCCGAAGGCAAGGAGGAAATGTCATGGCCCCCGAGTGCCTCCCCGTGGCCAGATCTCTCTGTCTCCACAGCCTCGCACTGCATTCAGCCCCAGCATGTTCCTTAAAGGATACATACTTCAGGGAGACAACAGCATATACGCGGGGCTTCCCCAGAAGCAGATCCTGAGTGAAGGATTGCAGTGGGAATAGTTAGGAGGTGATCCCAGGAAGCAATAGTAGGAGTGTGGGTAAGTGAGACTGAGCTGGAAGAAGCCAAGAGGCACAGATTACTGAGCAGGGTACTGCCCTGAGCACCGGGAGCCCAGTCCCATTGGAGAGCACTAGGGGGCAATATAGAACACACCTCAGAGTTGTCCCTTTATCCTTCGACTCCCGCCTGCCAAGAGTGGAGATCTGCTCTTAGGGGCTCATCTCCCCAGCACCCCACCGCCCAGCTCGGCGAGGCATTGTCAGCATGCCTAGGAACAAGGAGTGACGAAGGCAGAGTCTTTTATAGCTCTCATTGCTAAGTCATTATCAAGTCTACTCCCCCCACTAAACAAGACAGAGCTCTGGAGGCAGACGGCCCATGCCCAAATTCACGCTTCTTTCTAGGTGTGGGACCTTGATTTAACTTCTCTGGGCCTCAGTTCCCTTCTCCGTCCATAATATCTCCCCGGCAGGAGTCACGTCAGCTGACACACACAAAGAACTGAGCACAGCGCCTGGCGGTACTCCAGAAATGCCCACTGCGAGTCTTCGAGGCCAGTCGCTGACACGTTCACCCTTGCTTCCCCTGTGCCCAGCCTAGACAGTGCCCAGCACAGGGAAGGGGCTCAGGTCATGTCCACAATGAGTGAATGAGTGAGAGAGAGAGAGAGAGAGAGAAATTCAACAGCTAATGTGTTCACTTAGACCATTACTTCTAGTTTGGCGTCTCAAACCTGGCTTCTTCCTAAATATCACTTTTGTTTCCCGTGTTGTCCCTTTGGAAGTATAAGTTTTATCTGGAGTCTCTGAATAATAGAAGACAAACTAAATGCATCTCTGAAGAAATTTTCTGTAGGCACCCTGATTTTCCTGCAAGGGACCCCACAGCCCAGGGACTGCTGAGAATGAGACCTTCATAGAGTTCCAATTTCACCTCCAAGGAACTTACTTATTTATACAGGAGACACCGCACTGAAGTTTCATGTGCGTACACCTGCTGTCCTCTGGTGGACAGTGTCAAAACAGCAGGAAGCCTTGGAAACCAGGTTGTCTTTACCACTTGTAATAAGAAAAATATTTTGGTGGGCACTCTGTAGTGTGTGAGAGAATGAAGTTAACCACAATAAAGCTCAGGAAGATAGTGAAATGGACTAAGACCCGGGAAGGGTGCTGTGTGGGGATAGGAACAATAGGGGAAGGTCCATGAAGGGACATGTATAAAGGACACATGGACAAAGCCAAAGGGGGTGGGAAGCAGGGTGGGGAAATAGACAACTGTACTTGAACAACAATAAAAATAGTCAATAAATAGCCCTGGATGGTGTGGCTTAGTGGATTGAGTGCTGGCCTGTGAACCAAAGGGTCGCTGGCTCAATTCCCAGTCAGGGCACATGCCTGAGTTGCGGGCCAGGTCTCCAGTAGGGGGCATGTGAGAGGCAACCACACACTGATGTTGCTCTCCCCCTCTTTCTCCCTCCCTTCCCCTCTGTCTAAAAATAAATAAATAAAATCTTTAAAAATGTTTATAAAGAATCAGATTCTCTCTTTATAAATAAATAAATCCAAAAAAATAAGAAAAATAGTTAATCGATGCTTTTGTCTGCAAAGTGCTTTCACAGTCCATGTGTTACATGAGCCTTCAAACAACCCAGGCAAGGCAGGTAGGGCAGGAACTGTTCCCTAGGGCCAGGGCTGTCCTCACTGCACAGACGGAGAAACCCAGATTTAGAGAAGGTAAGCCCCCAGGGAGCCAAGAACTGAAACTTAAGGCTGAGAGTTCTGATTCCAAAGCTCAATTACTGTGACTCCAAATGTCAATTTCAGCTTCTGCTCGTGCATAAGAATGCACCCCAAATATCTAGGGTGGACCTGGAAATCTGCATTTCCAACATGCTCTGTAGGTGCCACCAGTGCAGTCAGGTCCCGATACTTGGACTGGCCTTTGGAAACCACCGCTGATGTCACACAGCCTCCGATTCTCTGCTTACACACCCTGTGTCTTAGTTTCCTGGGGCCGTGATAATACCACAGACTCAGTGGCTTATAAGCAGGAGGAATTTCTGTCTCTCAGTTCTGGAGGCTGGGAGTCCAAGATTAAGGCACCTGCAGATCTGGCGTCTGGTGCAGGCCCTCGTCCTGGTTCACAGATGGCCACCTTGTCACTGCACCCCCACACAGCAAGGGGGCTCGCCGGGACCCTCCTACAAGGGCGCCAGTCCCAGGTACAAGGGCTCTGCTCTCATGACCTAGCCCCCCACGATGGCCTCATCCCCTGATTCCAGCACAGTGGGGGTTAGGCCATCAACATAAATTTGGGGGGACACAAAGTTCCCCTCTACCCCCAATGCTGAGGGTCTAATATCTTCCACCCCACATTTGCCTCTCCCTAGGACCCCTCCCCTACCAACAGTGTAGATCCCTTGTACACTCACAAGCCGTGCACACCACACACACTACTCATTTAGACTCTTGCCATCCTAGCCGTCATTGCGCCCATCGGACAGAGGGACTCTGGGCAAGTTGCATTTGCACCAGGACGCGACCCCAGGCTGACCATGGAGGCCGTGTTGTGTGGCTTCACACCACGCTGCACTGTGTCCCTTACAGAATGTCCCTATCCTATGTCCCAGATCCCTGAAGTCCTGCCTGACTTTCCAATGTTGGGATGAAAACTAATTGTTACTAAAATGGCAGTAACTGACTTTGGCTTAAAAGTTTAGCTTAGTTCCTCATATCCACGATACATCTTTCTGAAACTTCAATTCTGTAAGCTGATGGGGAAAAAAGCAAGGAAGTGCCCCAAATTTAAAGATATAAAGACAGGTAGTAACATCCTCCTCCACCAGGGGCCAGGTCAGAGGGAGGGGACCCCAAATCTAGATGCTCCAGGGCCCTACTGCTCCAGACAAAATACAGGAAAAACACTAACTACTCAGAGCACCATACGCACATTCCCTGTGCTTGCACACACACACATACTCAGATATACACATGCACACCATGCACACATAAACACACATGTATACAGTGTGCATACATACCATGCACACACCATACACATACACACATATGCTCACGTGTGCACACATCACACACGTACACTTGTAACCATCACCACCAACTTGGGTCTCAGGCAGTCCCACCACGACAAAGCTGCCTGACTCTCAGGTGGGCTGGTGCATTTTCCCCCTCATCGATGCTCTCCCGCAGTCTCGGGGCAGAGACTCCAGCACTCGCTGGGACCCCTGCTAAGCCCAGCATGGCCCTGGCCACTGACAGAGACCCAGTGACAGCTGAGCAGTGGGGCTGGTGCTCTGCTTGCTAGGGCAATAGAGAAAAAGTGAGCCACTAGAGCCTGATGTTCTTCCAAAACAGAATCGAACTGGGACCGCAGCCACAGTCTGTGGTGGCCAGGGGTAAGGGCTGCCCCTCTGTGCTGTCTCTACCTGCTCCCCCCCCCCATGACTTCTGCTGGGTCTAGAACTGCACAGTCAGAGCCAGAACAGTCCTAGGAGAAGAGAGAGGCAGAAATAGTAGATTAGGTCATACCCTGCCTGCAGCGAAGGTTGTTACACAGATAACACTGCAGAGAAAACCACGCAACAGTTACCAACCGGCCAGAGGACCCAGGGTCCACCTGGGATTTTGCCAGGGCCCTGGGAACTAAGGGGCCTTGTTGCTAGGGGCTCACGGGGCCGCATCTGGAAGAGTGTCCCTTTGGACCCACTTTATTCCCACTTGGTTTTCTCATCGGCGCACTGGGCCTCAACCTTAGCATAGTCCCTTTTTATCCTGAAATGGCATGCATGTACTATACCAAATGACAAAGTATATCAGTTATACACCGCTTAAAAAAAAAAAAGCAACTGAATGCCCAAAGTGAAATGTAAAGGACAAACGAGAAGAAAGTAGTTTATTACCCACGTATTTCAATCTGCGGACACTGAGGCACGGCAGCACGAAGGGACCCCAGTGCAGCCCAGGCAGCTGCAGGTTTGGATGAAGGAGAAGCGAGAGGGTCAGAAGCCATTCCAAACAAGACACAGAGGGAAAGCAGGATGGAGGCTAGCCCTGAATATAAGTCAGTTCTGTAGTAACTGGAGAGGGTTTGCCCATGTCCGACAGCCATGTCGGCTTCCAGCCGCAAGTCCTGTGAGACCTGGAATGGTGCTTCATTGTGAGGACGTCCCCAGGCACTGCTGGACGTCGACTTTCCTGGACTCCACCCACCAAATGCCATAGCATCACTTCCAACCCGTCACTTCCAAACTTGTCCCCTCCGTTTGCACAAGGCCCCCGGGGGCAGAAGCATCCCCTTTGAGAACTGAGGAGGCCGGCCAAGTGGACGCCAGGGAAGGGAGGGTGGCCTCCCTTGTTGACCAGAGCAGGAACCCCCAGACTGGGGCACACAGAGTTCAGGAGGAAGAGGAAGTGGGAAGCCTTGGGCAACCCTCCCTGTGTCCTCTGCCACCACCGGTCTCTGTCCCCAGGGTCCAGAGGGCACCCCAACCCAAGGCTGTACCTTGTCCTGCCCTTGGTCTCCCCGCATGCAGAGCCTGTGGCATTGGCCGGGGGCAGCAACCACACCATTTGAGGGGCTCAGGCATCTCAGAGTCTCCAGGGACCAGTCCCTTCGCTTCTCAGTCAAGTTTCCCTGGTCTTCCTGCAGCCCCAGGGGAGCCAGACACACCCTGGGCCCTGCACCTCCTGTTAGCCAGCCCCCCACGCCCAGTGTGTAGGAACACGAACACCCTGAACAGAAGACTGATACCAGGAGTAGGAGGGGCAGGTGCTAATGCAAGTGCTCATTTGCATATCATTTGCCCACGATGCCCTGGGGAATGGCCTCCCCCAACCAGGTCTTGTCCTCCCACCCAGGAGAAACAGGGCTGGAGGCAGGACTTGGGAGTTAAGTGAGAGTACAGACCGGCCCTCTCGGGGTGCAGCAATCCCCTTGAGGGTCGCGGGGAGGCATAGTAAAATGACAGGGGCCTCTGGTTACCCACTGCCAGGTGCACAGTGACCCAGCCGGCCCCCGTACCACCCCTTCCAAAGCTGACTGGGCACCCACCCAGCCCGGCTGCACCAGGTGGGAGCTCCCGCACATGACTGGGTGCACTGGTCCTACTCGGTGGGCAGGTCCTCAGGTTGGCATGTGATGTAAGAACCTGCATATATTTAAAAATCACTCTCCCAAATCTCCCCCTGCATAGGCACCATGTTAGAGATCAGCACGCAGACCCTCATCCATCCAACACAGCAGGCTTTTCTCATCTCGGGAAACAGATCTCTGTTTCTCTGGTCACGACATGTGTGGGGGCACTCTCCCCTACAGCTGCCGTGTGCGAGGAAGCCCCGCTGCCTGGAGAGGCCACGTTAGGTGCCCCGGCCCTTGTGGAGGTCCCAGCCGACAGCCACCGTCAACCACCAGATCTCTGGGCAAACCAGCCTTCAGGTGTGATTTCAGCCCCACACACTTGAGCCCTCCCAGCCTTCGCATCCTCCAGGTGAGGCCCCGGACATCGCGGAGTGGAGACAGACCCTCCCCCTGGCCGGGTCTGAATTCCTGACCACAGAGCAGGAAGTCAGATTTCGGGACAGAAAGGTGCCTCACGCGGTATCTGGCGTGCCCTACGGGAGCCCATCCGTGCGCGTCTTTAAACATTTCAGTGATGCTCAGCTGCACAAAAGGCTCCCACTACAAGAGACCCCCGGAGCCGAGACTGACCCAGCGAAAAGCAAAATCAAACCACACGCTCAATGGAGGTATTAATCTTTGCTTTCTGCCCCTGCCATTTAAATGCTTTGTCCTAAAGGAATGTGTGAGGTTGAATTCTTGTAGGTTAAACACATGATGGATTCCTCCACAGGAGCTCCTGAAAGACTTGTGGCTTGACAGACGATAAGATGAATTCTCTGGAAGGACAGACACGCCAGGGTCGGTAAAAGACTGCCCACGCAGCCAGTGATGAGTGAGCCCAGAGACCTCGGTGGTCCTCCCTGCGGAATGTGAGTGGCGGGCTGAGGGGCTTGCCGAGCCAGGTCAGAGGACGGTGCAGCCGCAGCAACACCGCTCCGGGTAGTCCGCCACGAACACCCTGTGGTCCGTGCCGTAGATGTAGTAGACATTGGTCTTTCCTCGGTACCAGTAACGGACTTCTGTGAGGGGGACCAGCTCGATGGTCTGGCGCTGAGGAAACAATTGGCCAGGAAAAACTTCAGTGCTCTGTTCAAGCCACTCGCTTGCTCAAGAACTGTGGGCAGCTGCCCACTACCCGTGGCACGAAGTGCGTGCTCTGGAGCCGGCATTCTGGCTGCGACTGTGCCTTTTGTGTGCACCTCCCCTGCACTCCTCATACACCCCCAAGCTCCGGGGCAAAGCGAGGCACCGTCCGATCCCAGGTTTTAGGAAGGGGGGCACAGGCCTCCCCAGAGGTGTCATGGGACCTGTGGAGAGCCACCAGCCAAAGGGACACCTTCGAGAAACACTGACTTTCAGATGGGGTGGCAGGTAGAGAAAGGTAGAGGACAAAGTCATTTTTAACATTTTTATATCACAACCACCATGGAAAAATTAGAATTAGAGAGTGGATTATACAATTCGAATTACATTTTAAGGTAAAACATTGATACCAAAGAAATTCTAAAGTTTGGTAGGCTGTTTCAGGCTATTTTCTCAGACCCCTCCCTCTCCATACCCCATGGTTTTGCATCGACCCTCCTGTAAGAAGTTTTTCTCAAATATCTTCCCCTTTTGCAAATGGGGAAACTGAGGCCAGTGGGCTCGTGGAATTTCCGGTTTGGATGATCATCTACATCAGGCTCCATCTCCTCGCCTTTGCTGGACCTGTTTGAAGCTGAAACCTCCTCCCAGCACCCACCTCCCACCTCGGCCTAGGAGCCTGGGACACTCCTCCATCCTACAGAGCAGTCCCAGGGTCCCGAGTTCTCAGGCCCCTTCTCTGAGCAATGACTCAACAGCCTTCCAGAATCAAGGGGCCCAGAACGGAACCAGCGGCCCCACCTTGGCAGAGAACACTGGCCTCCTACTGACAATCCCCATCAGCTTTTGGTGCTGTTATTTTTTGTTTTATTATTAACAATGACACATTTGACAGAGGAAAGTCACCCCTAATCACCGAAGCGAAGCTTTCTCAGGTACTTCCAATGGGCCAGGCTCTATGTCAACACCCCTGAGTTCCTCTGCACTGGCTGCTCCCCTGTCTCAGGCTCAGGCTTGGGGACCCCAAACACAGAGTGGTGGCATGGCTGGCCAGGATCGGACCCTCTCAGTTGCTGAAAATTCCTCTCGATAGGAAAAGAGCCCCAGTTCTGTCACTGTAGGTGATGGTCAGGGGCCCCGGGGAAAGGACAAAACAGGCTCGGGGTCGGGGGTGGATTTTGAGAAGCAGGTCCCTACTGTACTGGGGGAAGCGGAGGGGTAGCATGACGTTGTGCCTTTTTCACAAAGCTTTCTGTGGAATCTCACACTTCCTTTATCTGGGCCTCAGTTTCCTCACCTGTGAAATGGGGATAAAACTTCTAAGTCACAGAGTTGTTGAGACAATAAAATGACATGGCGAGACTGGGTTTTCTCCATATGCCAGAAACTGGCCTTCAAGTGATAATTTTGGAAATTAAAGGCAGAAGACCTCTCCTGACATTTTAGTACAAAGGGCCCAACATGAGAATTGCTAGGCAAGAACTGAGGGGAGCCCACGTCCCTGCTCGGAGGACCTGGATGGTGGCGTCAGAACCACTCTAGTTTCCAGATGTTTCTACTCGGACCCAACAGAGCACAGTAATACCACCCACCACTGCCAGCCTCCAGTTGCTTTGGATTCAAATGGTCTCTGAGTCTGAGGCCACACAGATGCATCAGGACATCGATCGCCATCATTGATTATCTTGTAACTGGCCGTTTATCTGTTTGGACACCTGGGACGCGCCCCGGGGATGAGCTGACCCCAGGTCTGAGAGGCTGGGTCTGATGCCTGGACTGCGTTCTGCTCACTAACTTCTCAGTCCTGAACAAAATAGCAGCATGAATCTTTGTCTACAGATCCAGGACCAAAGGGCAGTTTAGGGAAAAGATTCACAGACATGGCCTCTTCTCCCATTATCTTCCCTTTTAAAGAGAAATGTAGCCCCACCTGGTTTTCCCGTCCCTGCTGGGCTGGCTCACAGTGGCCCGTGGGCCCGAGACGGGGCTGTGCTGTGGGGAGGCCCCAGGAGGCCAGGCTCCCCCTGGCCGGCCACCTGGCTCCAGATCTCAGCAGTCACTTCCCCTCTTCGGGCCTCAGTTTCCCCAGCTACCAAATGAAGGGTCCAAAAAGAATTCAAATTGTCTGTCTCAGAGGCAAAAGTGTACCGGCATAAACACTACTGTCCACAGGCTGCTGAATCCTGTCCTTACACTCTCCCCGGTTCCAGAGAAGATACCTCAGCTGGGGGCCCTTCACTGTGACCCACCCCACAGGAGACTAGTGCTGAAGAGTGAGCTTCCTGAGACACCATTCTGGGGCCTTTCGTGGACACTGTTCTCATCCCATGTGGGTTCCTCAATTCTACACCCGCAAACCCTCCCCAGCCTGCCTCTTCATGCTCTCCTGCTCATAGCTCCACCTTCCTCTTCTGCGTCCTCTCCTTGAGATAAAGGACCCACCTTCCTCCCAGGGCAGAAAGTGCCTGGGAGGCTGCACCAGTGAGTGGATGGTGCTGGAGAGTGAAGGCCCAGCCCCTTGTCTCCAGGACACCCTGAGGTGTGGTTATGCTCAGAGCTCCCTGGAGATGGGAGATCCAGCAGGGGCTGGGCCACTGCCAGTACCACGCTCTCGTGTAGCCTCTCCCTCCTTCCTCTGCAGCTCCACGGGTTGTCCTGGGAACCCTTCCTTCATGAATGACAGGCCCACAAACCCTCATCTGGGACCTGCTTCTCCAGAGCCCATCCTAAGGCAAGGTCTAACCCTGCTCATTTCATAGACGGGGATGCTGAGGCCTACGGGGCGGAAGAAAGGGGCTCGCAGCCACGAGTGTGGGCCTGGGCTGGCGAGCAGGCCCTGACCTGGTAGGCAAATTGTCCCTGCAGGGTCTGACCCAGTGAAAACAGCCCCAAAGCTCCCTGCTGGCTGATACCCCTTCGAGCCTACACTGACTTCCAAAGTGTCATTCGTGTCTCTTGAATACAGTGAATAGCATTTGGCTTGATGTTAGAAAACTCAGGTTCTACTCTGGGGCTCGTCCACTAAGAAGCTGCGTGACCTTGAGTAGATTACTTTGCTCCCTGGGCTTCCTCGGAAAGGTCATAGGTTTGGACCAGACCAGGGACAGCCTGTGATGGCCCACAGGCACAGCAGGCCCGTTGACACATGCGGGGTCCTTTACATTTAAAAAAATTTTGTTGTCAGTATTGAAAAGTTAGAAGGTTTCATATAGAAATCTGTACTTTAGAAGGTCTGCAGTCTTTGCCTCTGTGCATGCACAAAGCTGTGGTAGCTGCCCTTTTGGACAGGGGGCTCTCCCGTCCACATCACCACCTGGCTCTGGTAGGCCTTTGAACTTGCAGCAACCCAATGCTGTGATTTCTGAGGTCCATTCCGGCTCAAGGTGGTCATTTATCCATTCAAATTAGGTGCATCCTTCTCTCTTCTGCACATAGGGGAGATGTGCAGAAAGAGAAGGGGAAATACTCATTGCAAAGGGACACTTTGATCACCAGGTTTCACGTGCTTAAAGAAAACTGTCTCCAATCACCACAGCATGGTACTGGCAGAAAAACAGACACACAGACCAGTGGAACAGAACTGAAACAAAGGAGCCAAAAGCATACAATGGAGAAAAGAAAACCACTTCAATAAATTGTACTGGGAAAACTGGAGAGCCATATGCAAAAGAATGAAATTAGACTGAACTTGACCCCAAAAGCAACGGTAGTAAAAGTCAAAATAAATGAGTGAGACCATATCAAACTGGAAAGCACATGCACAGGAAAAGAACCATCAACACAACATAAAGGCAACCAACCACATGGGAGAAGATGTTTGCAAACAACACCCAAAATACAGAAGGAATTTATACAACTCAATAACAGAAAAAAACATCCAGTTAAAAAATGGTCAAGGACCTGACCAGCCACTTGTCCCAATCGGGCGGGCAAATGGCCAACAGACACATGAAACACGCTGCACTTCACCAGCTACCAGGGAAACGCACAGCAAAACCAGAGGAGACACCAGCTCACACCTGTTACAATGGCTATTCTAACAGTAAGACACAGAAACAACCAGTGTTTTTTGAGAGATGGTTGGATAAAGACATGGCACTTATACACAGTGAAATCCTACTCACCCATAAGAAAAGATGGAATATTGCCATCCGCAAAAACATGGATGAATCTTGAGAGTATCATGCCAAGAGAAATAGATGGAAAAAGTCAGGAACCACATGATTTCACTCATATGTAGTCTGTAAGACCGGAAGCAACAAATGAGCAAACAAAAACTCACAAACAACAGCAATGGTGCTTTTCAGAGGGGAAGCGGGTAGGTGGAGGCTGAAGGTGGTAAAGGGGAGATAAATGGTGATGGAAGGACTAGCCTTTGGGTGGTAAGCACGAAATGCAGTATACAGATGATGTATTATAGAATTGGACACGTGAAGCCTATATAATCTTAACCTGTGTCATTCCAGTAAATTTAATAAAAATTTAAAAATCAAAAAGAACATTTTCTCATCCTTACAAAGCCCCCTAAGGCCAGTTTAGCATTTCTTTTTCCACAGGTGAGAAGCTGCACTTCAAAGAGGAGAAGGCAGGTGGACATGACCAGGTTAGGATGCAGGAGAACCAGGATCTGAGCCCAACTCTGCAAGACTCGGGCGCCAGGTGAGGCCCCCCCGCACGGAGCTGGCGCTGGGCCTTCCCTGTCCAGACTCCTCCTTCCAGCAGCTTGCAGCCGGCTGCTGCGAATGCCCCTCCCGAGACGCGGACGGGCACCACTGCCACCTAGTGGCCACCGGGATACAGCACCAAAGCAACCCTGGTCCTGGCTGCCACCCCTGCTCACGGGAGGCTTGGGGAAGACATGCCTGAGGCTTGGGAAGTGCCCGAAGGGGCAGGACGATGGGTTCACACCCTGCTTATGACCCAGGATCTCTAGATTTCCCCTCTCCTCTCTGAATACCAGAGAGGGCGAGGGATGAGGGGGTGCAGTTTCTGATCCAAATCACTCTGAGACAGATCCCTGCTTGAAACCCAGCAATAGCGTCTCCTTGTTCTCAGGATAAAAGTCAAAACCTGGCATCATGGACCCTGTGGCCCGCCCTGCCCGCTGCCTCAGGCCGCCACAGTGGCTGCCACATTGGCCTCAGGTCAGCCCCCAGGACTCCCTGTGTTCCTCAGGCTGGGGCTCCTCCCGGCCACCCTCCCTCTGGCTGACTCTTCCTCACCCTTCCTTCCCTTCTCAGGAAGGGCCCCCAAGAGAGGGAACAGCCCATTTCCTCCCTTATGTGACAGGAGGGACATTGCCCTCAGCCTTTGGAGCTCTCACCTCCCAACAACCCCAGGCCCTGGGTGGCTCACCTGCTGAAGGACACGGGCTCTGGAGGCCAGGGTAGCGCTGTGCTGGGCAATGCCCCGCTCCGACGCCAGGGAGATCTCCCGCAGGGGGAAGTCGATGAGGGGATACACCTGGGGAGAGAGACGCACCCTCCTCGCTGCCAAGTGCCGGCACCTGGAGCGTTGGCAATCTACTTCAGGCAGATGGGAGAGCGAGCCCAGGCTGGGAAGGGCCCGAGACCACGCAGCGAGCACGTGGGGAGTGCTTGGGTGCCACAGACCCTTGATCACCCACATTTTGTTGGGAATTCCACCAAAAGGGGGCTGCAGACCCAGCGGCCCTCCACCCGCAGCCCTCAAGTCCCCCAGCAAGACTCTGAGGCCGCCCGACTGGGGTGCGGTGCAGGGCTTCCTAGAGGGTGACCTCTGCCCTCAGCCTTCAGGAAGCCGCACTGACTGGGGCAAAGGAAAGAGGCTGAGGAACATCGCTCAGCCCCCAAAAAAGAAGGAAGACCTGACACTTCAGCCTTGAGGATATTGTGCTAGGTAAACTAAGTCAGACAGAGAAAGACAAATACCCTATGTTCTCACTTGTATGTGGAATCTAAAAAAACAAAGCAACCAAGCTCCTGAATACAGAGAACAGATTGAGGGTTGCCAGAGGCGGGGGTGAGGGGTGAATGAAATGCAGGGGGGCGAGTGTCAAAAGGTCCAAACTTCCAGTGATAAAGTAAGTCCTAGAGATATGATTCACAACACGGTGACTGCAATAGAGAACAGTGTGCGGAAAGTTGCTACGAGAACAGTTCTTAAAAGTTCTCATGACCAGGAAAAAGTATTATATAACCATGTGTGGTGACTAAGTGTGGTGATGGTGTTAAGTAGACTTCTTGCAGTGATCACCTCACAGTGTATACATGTGTCAAATTATTGTGTCGTACACATACACAAAACTAACATTGGTATATGTCAATCATATCTCAATTTTTTAAAACACATATTACAAAGTGAAAGAAGCTGATCTGAGGTCACATACTGTAAGGAAAAAAGAAGGAAGGGAGGGAGAAAGGAGGGAAGGAAGGAGGGGGGAAAAAAGGAGACTGAGCACTTGACCCTCTCGGAGAAAACAGCATGAAGACCCTTAACGGCCAAGTTCCCTGCCAAGGCCGACAGCCGGATTGGCAAATCTTTTCCGTAAAGGGCCACACAGTGAACATTTCAGGCTTTGTGGGCCATAGGGTCTCTGTGTCAACTACTCAATTCTGTCCTTGCAGCACAAAGCCAGCCACAGACAATACATAAACAAACAGGCATGGCTATGTCCCAATAAAACTTTATTTACAAAAGCATGCCGAGGGCAGAAGTTTGCCAACCCCTGGCAAACAGGCCCCTCCCAATTGGCACGTCTCGCATCTCAGCTCCTCGCTCAGCCAGGCCGCTGCCTTCCGGCCCCACCGCTCTCCACTCTTCCTCAAGCCTCTGCCCTGTGCTCCCTCTGCGGGCGCCCTTGCTCCAGAGACCACGCGACCACCATGCACTGCCCTCTGCCCTGCGTTCAGGTCTTTGCCCACCATCCCCTCCCTGAGCCCCAGCTGAAACAACACCCCGGGCCCTTCCTGTCTCCTTGCCCTGGTTGGACCCTTGCTGCCATCAGACATTGTGGTGAAATGTTGTCTTCTCCTTCGCCAGACTGAGATCTATGAGGCGGGGATCTCGCTGGGCAGAGCCCAAAGCCCAGAATGGTGCCTGATACAGGAGGAGGGGTCTCCACATTTGTAGAAGGGAGGGAGGATGGGGGGGAGAAAGGAGGAGAAAAGGAGGAAGGGTCCAGTATGTGAAATTCAAAGGAGACTGGCCCCATGGAGTCCCAGCTGCCTCTGTGCTGTCTGGCAGCTCCGCTCCCTCCCAGCCTGTCTGTCTAAACGAGTGCAGCCCCACCGAAAGCCAGAAGAGCCAGAAGAGGAACCTCGCTTCCACGGGGTGCCCTGCAGAGCCCTCCTTACCATCGTATTCTCATCCTTAAAGAGGTTTTCTCCTTTGGCTTTAGCTAGGAGCTCCATGGGACAGTTCAGCCGGTGCTCGGACACAAACTCAAACAGGCTGTTCTTCCTGGAGGTGAAGGGATGAGGGATGCTTAGGAACGTGGGTTTGGAATCAGACAGACCCGGGCTGCAGGGCTTGCGTTACTACTGGCAGAGCCTGGGGAAAGTTCTTTAGCCTCTCTGGGCCTCAGCACATTCAGCTGTAAACTGGGAAACCAGTCAAGCACTGACAGCTCTGTCCCATTACCGCAGTCCATCCTTCCCTGTGAAGTGCCAGCAAAGCACTCAATAGGAGGAACCCTTAAGGCCTGGGACCGTCACTGATATGGGAATTTAGGACACAGAAAGGAATGCCCAGGAGTTGAGTGGTTGCTGCACTAGAAAGTAGCGATGTCAGAATGTGAACTCAGGTCTGTTCTGAGGCCCACCAGCATCCTGTCACCCCACACTCCTCTTCCCAGGGGTCCCCCCCTTTCCAAGTGATTCTAATCCCTTTTCTCCCAGCAGGTCCCGGTACTGAGAGAGCCCCAACCAAGTGGAGTTTCTCTGCAGAAACCGGTCCAGGCCACGTCCCCCAGCTCCCACTGCTGGGCCACCGCGTGGAGGGACTACCACCTACCACATGATGACCAGCTGGACAAAGTGCACCAGTTTCTTTTCCCCCTTGCAGGTGGCACAGGTCTTGTTCCCCCTCCCTGAGCACGTGCTGCACCTGAGGGGGATACACCGTCAGTGGAGGGCCCCATCCCCAAATCCTTCCTCCGAGAGGGGAACTGTGGTGGGCATGGATTGCTTCTACCCTCCCACCACCTAGACCTTTTGCTTCTGGTGGCAGTGCCCCAATTTCCCTTTGGACCACCCTTCTCCCACCCAGTCTATGGGCTTACAGCCCACCCCCTCTGTGGCCAGCTGGGGACCTTCACCTGGTCAATCAGTGTATTCTATCTCTCTGGCCACAGTGGCCGATACAAAGATGGGCTCATGACCCAGGTAAGTGCAATGAGATCCACCCTAGAACTTTTGTTGAAACTTTCAAAAACAGGACATCCTTTTCTACTGAGGTTACTAAGCTTGGAGCTGCTGATGGTCTCCTCTGCCTCAAGAGACAGTGTGCCTGAGAATAAAACCGACGCAAAGGAGAGCATAGTGAGGACCAGAGACAGATTCTTGATGGCATTGTTTAAGCACCTGGACCCAGCTGTACCTGAAACCACCCCAGAAATTATACTCCTGGGCTTTTCTGTTACACAAGACTGTACATTTTTTTTTCTGAAGCCAGTTTGAATTGGATTTCTTTCACTTGTAAATAAATCTGAGTTTCTTTCCACATCAAAGACCTTCTTTATCAATCACATGTCCACCAAAGCTCTGTCGTCTGGCTTGTTAGAAGGATGCCCTTCAACCAACACCGCTTTGAATAGCTGCGTGCCTCACGGTTTCCCTTTAAAGATTTATAAGTACATTAAAGGACTGATCTACAAAATGCAATGCCCGACTGTTGGCAAAGCCCTGGAGCAGAGATGAAACCGCTGATTGTTTTGTCAATCAACCAGCCTTCCCTGACTCTTCCATTTACACCTTGCAATGCATTAAAAATTGGGGTTCCCAGGCCCAGACCCTCAGTGTTGGGTGGTTTCTGTATCCCCTTCCTGCCCCGCATGAGCAGGAGCAGGTCTCCTCTCCTTAAACTGCCCCTTCCTTCCTTCCTGCAGTGCCCTGCTCCGTACGCCTGACCCATAGATTGCTCGATGCGTTCCAGTCCTTTCCAGAAACATCAGGCCTCAAGAAAAAGTCCACCCACTCCACAAATAGTTACCAAGCACCTACTATACACAGAGCTCTGGGGACGCAGGATTGAAAAGACAGGGTGCCTGGTTGTCTTCCAAAAGAGCAGACAGTGGAAAGCAAGAAGGCCAGGGAGACCCGCCCGTACCTGTGCCTGCCAGACCCTGAGCACATCTGACACCTGCGGGGCTGCTTGGCTCTGCGCTTGGCTCCACTGCAGGAAGGGCACCTCACCTGCGGACACAGCAGGGCCTCAGTGCTCCCGGCCTCCCGGGGAAGCACCCTAAGACCTGGTTCAAATGCCAGTCTGGCGACTTTAGGCAAGCCTCTTCCTCTCCCTGGGCCTCCAGCCCTTTATCTGTAAAATGGGAGGGTTAGATGTAGTGTTTCTTAGGGCCCCCCAGTTATACCTTTCAAAGATTCTACACCCTAACACCCCTGTTTCTCCTGGGACATCAGCCTCTCCAGCTTCTCGCTGACTCCCAAGAACCCTGGGACCACCCCCTAACCAAACAGCTGTGGCCAGAGGGAGCAGTAAGAAGGGCAAGCTGGCCAAGGGACCTGGTGTTGCAGATGGAAATCTCACCTTGGAAGGGCCCCCAGGGGTGACTCAGGCAATGCTCCCACAGTTGGCTCGGGGTGGGCTCCAGAGATGTTCCAGGGAAAGCTTGAAGGAGGATACAGGGGAGGAAGAGGAGCAGGCATGGAGGAAGGCATAGAAATCACCTCAGGGAGGTATTCTGGGAAAACCACGAGGAGGTAAATGGCAGGAGTGAGGGCATAGGATCGCCCAGGCACAGGCCACAGCTGGCCTCCAGACAGTGCTCAGGGGGGCAGAAGAGTGAGCACACCACAGGCAGAAGGAGGGCGCCGACAGGGGGGAATGGCAGGCGGGCAGATGGAAGGACAGAGGAAGACACAGCTCAGAGTGACAAGTGGTCAGTACGTGTCCAAAGGAGTGGGTGTAAGTGGGGAGAGCTAAGAACACATGGGAACTTGGTACTGCTCCTGGGATAACTGGTAGCCCTGAAAGTTTTTCAAAAGAAGGCTGATGCCATGAGAGCCTAACTGTGCACTTAGGGGCTTGTCTGGGTCAAACAGTGACCCTCCTCCTCCCCGCACTGAATATTGCATTCAACAAAACTTTAGAATGTGACCTCATTTGGCAATAGTCTATGCAGATGCCATTAGTAAAGATGAGGTCATCCTGGACTAGGGTGGGCCCTAAATCCAATGACCTGCATCCTTATAACTAGGGCACGAGGACACACAGAGATGCACACACATGGAGACAGCCATGTGCAGCCGGAGGCAGAGACGGGGGTGACACAGCCGCAGCCAAGGACTGCCGGCAGCTGCCAGAGGTCAGACAAGGGCCCCCGCCTCGGGGTCTCCGGGGGAACCAACCTGCCGACAGCCTGATTTTGAACCTCCAGCCTCCGGGACTGTGAGAGAATAAATTCCCGTTGTTTTAAGCCCCGAGTTTGTGGTAATTTGTTGCAGTAGCCCTCAGAAACCAATCCAGCCCCATCTATTTTGTCTCTGGAAGTCCTATGAACTTCAGCTTCTTGACATCACCCTGTACTACAAGTGCTAGTCACTGCCGGCCTCCCTGCAGGCGGGGGTCCCTGGTGGGAAGCGCCCCAGGTCTAAGTCCTCTTGCTGGGCCTAGTGCCAAGCAGGTACTCACGGAATGTTCATAAATGGATGAGAAAAAAAGAGAATAATTAAAATTATAAATCGTAAAAGTGAAAAAGGCCAGTAGCGATCACCCAATCCAACTTTCCCATTTCACGGGTGGGAAAACGGAGGCCCAGCAAGGGGGAATGACTTGCCTGAGGTCACACTGTTGGCTTGGGGAGTCCCCAGCCCCCTCCTCCGCCCGTGCTACACTTGCCAACAGCCACGCACAACTCACCATGCCGGCGCCGTGGCAGCCGCTGCACTTGTAGCGCCCGTGCCCGCGGCATTTGTGGCACTCCTGGTGGAGAAATGGGAGAAATGCTTTCTGTGGATCTGGTTCCTCAGACACCTGCGGCTGCACCACCTGCACCCCCACCCGCACTCCTGTGTCACCATCCCAAACACCAGTGCAGCCGCTCAGAGCCAGAGTGGGAGGGGCTCCTTCCTACTTGACTGTGATTCCAAAGGGCCTTGAATGCCAAGCCCGGGAGACCAAGTCCTCATTTCCTCAGAGGCCCAGCCCTGTCTGTCCTGGATGCGAAGGAGGGGCCGCTTGCCCTCCAAGTCCCACATCCTAACTCATGCTCCCAGGCTGAACCACAAAGGCTGGTGTCCTTCACCCATTTAGTAGATAAAATGGTCTTTGGAAGTGGAAGCCATAAAAATGGACAGTGTTTGTGTGAAAGGCAATGATTTTGGAATTTAATCACTACTCTTGAGAAAAGGATGGAACTCTCTGCTGAGCTCCCACAGTCCTCCCCATCTCATGATGCTATGAAAACACGTGGGGTAAAATTACCTGCTCAAATCAAGTTCTAAAGTGAAAACAAGACAGGTAATTAGAGAGAACATAACCCAACACGTCTCGGCTGTGCTTTTGTCATACATGAGGTCACCCTCACTTCATGTCACGATCATTTCCGTAAAACAGGAGAGACGTTCCATTCTGCTCCCCTGCTGACTTCCAGGGAAAATCCCAACAATGTTCTCACTGCGTTTTATGCTTCATTCGGCACTTCAGTGGTTTACTCTCAGGCCAAAAGCGGGGCTGGCAGGATAAACACTCAGAGGGTTTAGGAGTGTGAATGCTCCCTATTTAAAGCTGGTGACAATTTTTCTAAATGGGGTCATTCTTTTGCTATATGAATAGATGAAAAAGAGATAAGCCAAGAGCCTGGATTTGGAGTCTCCTTTCTAAAGGACAGTGTTTTGGGAAACCTCCAGTCCCCGGGACAGCAGCTCAGACCGAAGGGAGTGTTACAATAGCCATGTTACCTTGACCACTGACGAGTGAGGAACCTGGAACTTCCTGGTGTCTTCCTGAAACATCGGGGGGACCTGGACCTTGAAGTCCCAAAGCCTGGGGGAGGTCCCTCTTCGTGGCCCATCTACTAAGTGGTCTGACACAGAAGCAGATCCTTGTAAGAACAGCAAACAGCTGCAGAGCAAGCTTACATTTATTCACCAAATAGCACAGAGCCTTCACTCAGTGCCAGGCGTTAGGCTGGACCCTGGGCTACAAGGAGGGGCAGGTAAGTGTCCCCTTGGGGTTTATAGTTAAGGACCCAAGCTTTGGGATTGAAGAGACTTGGGTTTGACTCCTGGCTCTTCCACTTCCTGGCTATGTAACTCCAAACAAGTTATTTCACCTCTCTGGCCTTCAGTTTTCTATCTCTAAAATGGGGATAATGATGGTACATACCATAGAGGAAAGAGGCATGTAAGTGCTTAGCACAGGGCTAGCACCTGCTGAAAGCTCAATAAACAAGAACTTTGGAGAACTATCACCTCCATTCCCACCATCTTCTTCCTCCTCCATTCAAGGAGACAGACATAGCTACAAACACAACAGTAAGTACTTTGGACAAGAGTTCTGTTGGGGTGGGGTTGGCAGGGGCAGCGGCAGGAGAAGAAATTCTGAAAGGCTTCATAAAAGAAGTCACTTGTGAGCTGAGTCTCGATAGAGGAAGCAAAGTGGTCAGCAGAGCAAGCAGGTAGGGTGCAGGGCTTCCAGACAGAACCTGGAGCCTTAGTGTGGTTCGGCAAGGGGTGGGAGGGCACGTTGCACAGTGGCCCAGGGGTCACCTGGGGGCAGGCAGCCGCCCAAGCACACACGCTACCTGTGCTACCTAGGCCCGTGTCAGCACCAGCCTGCGGCCAAATGCAAATGCAAGACTTCCTCAGGACCTTCTGCAAACCATTTTCTGGACAGGAAGCAGTTGCTAAGTCAGCACTGGGAAGTGTCTGAGATGAAAGCTCACCTCTCATTCGACAGGGGTAGGGACACCAAGGCTCTGAGTGGAAGGGCGTCTCATTAGTGGAATGAGACTGGCCCCTGCCATGTTCGCTCCCATTAAACTGATCTCAGACAACTCACTTACTAGTAAAGGGCTGAAATGTCCATTCACTTATCCTGGATTCGCTGAACGTCTCCAGTCGATACTATAAAGAAAAACATAGTCGGTTCACACTCATGCCCTTGAGCAAGACAGAGCATTATGCAAAATGAGGAAGCTCTCACGGGCTGGGGCTCAGTGCCCAGTCCCAAGGGTCCCGCACAGGGCACAGAGGGCTCCTTATAACAGACTGGCGACAGCAATTTCTGTTCGAGGTGCACCGGCACGTCTGCAGGCCAGTCGGTCGGCCCCAGGAAACCTCCCCTGACAGGCTCACACCGGAACAATTTCAGTTCCCTGTTTCTTTGTACATAGAAACATTCTAAGAGGTGAGGTTTGGAACAGCAGTCGCCTTCTGACAGATGGAGGCCCCTGGAATCCACTGCTCCAAGGGTCCCCCTGTGGAGGAATTGACCTGCCTGATGGCAAAATCCTCCTTCTTGATCCTCATCCACAGAATCACAAACCAAAAAGGTATCTTGGACATCACCTGCTCCTCCTTTTTCATGTGAGGAAATGGAGACTCAGAGAGGTCAGTTGACTTGCCCAAGGCTGCACAGCTACACGGGGACCTCTTCCCCCAGATCCCTGCCCTATCAGCCCTGCCAGGCTCGTCTGATCTCTGTGTGAGTGTGTGCTCACCAGAGGAAGGCTGTGTCAGTGCCACTAGAAAACATGAACCCAGATACTGTCCTGTAGTCCTGTCAATACAGAAGGTGACCTAGGTGCCTACAGTGATCCCGGCTGCAATCTCAGCATAGGATTTCCCTGGAGCATCAGGCCCCAGTGACAAATAAATGATTCCTTGGTACAGAAGTGACTTGGTGGAGGCAGAAGCAGCTGGGATGAAGGGGAGTCGGTGGACCCCTTTCAGCCCACTCCTCCTAGAAGCGAATCTGCCTTGTGTCTGAGGACATGGGCTTTGGTGCCAGCTAACCTGAGGCTGAATCCCAGCTCGGTCACTTCTAGCTGCGTAGTGTTGGGCAAGTACATTCGCCTCTCTAGACATCCAATTCCTCCTCTGCAAACCGATGATGGTAACACCTACCCTGCCAGTAGCTGTGAGGATATGATAAGATATGTGTAGCATGCTTTACGTGAAACCTAGCACATTCGAGCTTTGCAATGATTGATAATAATTCCTCCTTGTATTATCCCTCAGAATGCAGACCAGAGAGGTCACAGAAGGGACTTGCACATCACTGCCATTTACACGAACTGCCACACATCACTGCCGTTCACACACACTGCCCTCCAGATACCCATCTCCCGCTTCGCGTCACATGAGCCCCCACCAGGCCAGCTCCCTTACCCTGCACAGGGTCTGCTGCTTCAGCTCCTGGATGATGAAGTTGCTGGCAGCCGAGCTGCCGTAGCAGCATTTGGAATTCACGAAGCTGAGGAGGGCTTCCCGCGCCACCTCCTCCGTCACCACAGGGATTCTGGGGGGACAGAGCAGAGAGGCGAGAGGGTCTAGGGAGGGCCCACGGGCTCGTGCAGGCAGGGATCCCCCTCACTGTGCAGATGGAAACTGGCCCACGGTGATGAGAAAGCACTCAGGTGTCCAACAAGGGAGGGCATCTCGGCAAAGGGGACTGTGTGAACAGGTGCCCGCAGTGAGAGAGCGGCAGGTCTTTCTAGAGGACAGCAAAATCATGTTAGCTGAAGTATGGATCTGAGGAGCGCTGATAGAACCTTAGATCTCAAAAAAATCCTTAAAGATGAGTTATGCCATTTTACAAATGAGGACAGCCAGAGAAGATATCACACAGCTAGACGAGGTTCCTGGCCTCAGGGCACACGACTTCAACCAGAGGAGCGGTGAGTAACTTGGCACGTAGACAGCAGCCTAGAACCATCTAACAGCTGCACCCATGGCTTGTGACTCACCGTGAGCCTGCTGGACCAGAGCCATGGCCACTAGGAAAGCAGACCACCAGCCCCCTCTTCTGCCTTTTCTCTGGACACCTCCCACTCATGCTGGAAAACTCCTCAGACAGGCCCCGCTGCCAGGTCCCCTCCTTAGTGAAGCCCTCCTGCCCCAGCGCCTCCAGTACTCAAGGGCCCTCCCTTTCCTCCTCCCCCTCACATCTTCATATATTTCTCCACAGCAGCTCAGCTCCGAACGAGGGGTGTGGGGAGGTACTGCAGGCTTCCTTCTCTCTGCACAAAGCTGGTGGTAACGTTGGAGCTCTCCCCCAACACAAAACAAGGGGGGTGTGGGCCTCTCCAGGGAGCAGCCAGCTTTTTCTGTAAGGGGCCAGACAGTAAGTACTTTAGGCTTCGTGGGCACGCTGGTCTGTGTCTCAACCACTCTTCTCTGCTGTTGTAGCAGGAAAGCAGCCACAGACAGTGAGTAAACAGATGAGAGGGGCTGTGTTCTAATAAAACTCAATTTACAAAAACGGGCAGCAGGCTGGATTTGGCCCAGGGACCAGAGTTTGCAACCCCCTGATCTTGACTCTGGTTTTCAACTCTGGCTTGGTTGCCAAACAGCATACAGAGCATGGCAAAATACAGATTCCCGGCCTCCATCCCTGGAAAATCGGATCCAGGAGGCCTGGATCCTGATGCGCTGTCAGGGGTGAGATATGTCACCCTTGAGATCCCCAAGGAGGGTTCTCAGGGACAACAGTGACCGGGAGCATCTCAAGGCATGATCCGGTGTGATGGCTCTGGGAGGGTCAGCAGAGCACACCTGCAGCTCACCTGTGTTCCAGGAACGCAGACCAGCACCTTTGCTCCTGGGGTCTCTGTGGAGCCTCCAAAGGTGGGAAGAATATCTGTTGTCCTGAAAAAGAAAGGAGGAATTAAATTTAAAGGGCTAGCTCAAAGGAACAAACACCTGTAGGTAAAAGAAGAAAAGACTGGCTGAATGTGAGAAAGAGCAGATAAAAAAAAAAAAAGAATGATGGTTCTCAGACCAGCATCACTCCGGTCTTAAATGGACAAGGTCATGGAATGTTCATGGACACAAGGCTTATGCCCCATGTCCTCCTATTCCCTCCCAGCGGTGATGAGGGATGTCCCAGGACTTCCAGAGTAAAAGTGAGCTATCCCAGTGCTGACCTGTTCTGGAGATGACCGCCCAACCAGCAGAAGCCCCAGGAAGAGGCCATAAGAACCAAGACCCCGCAGACTTACCACCTCCTTGGAAAAGGCAGTCATAGCTAGGAAGCCTCTCCAGGAGTTCAGCTGGAGGCGCCAGGGGACTCTCGGCCTCAAAGCTGAGGTCCGTGACACCTGCAGAAAGACGGGCAGTCCTGAGCCTCAGGGAGGGGGAACGGGTGAGCCTGTGGCAACTTCACAGGAAGCTGACAAGTGAAGGCAGGTGCCTTATAAGAAGCTTCAGTTTAACTAATCCCGTCTCAATCTGGCACGCTCAGGAGACAGAACACATCTGCAGGGTGAGAAGGGATGAGGTGGCGGTGTGATCGTTGCAGCAGTAATAATAAGAATGGAAAAAACATAGAGAATAGCAACTCCTGTTTGATGGCTACCTACTCTGTGCCAGTCACTGCGACAGGTGCTTTACAAATATCACCATGTTCCATGACCCTGGAGAAAGATACTGAAGTACAGACGGTCACATTTCTTTAAGGCTCCTCTCTCTCATTGAAAGGTGGATCTATGTCTCCTCCCCTTGAACTGGGGCAGGTTTAAGGCTGCTTCAACCAAAGACACACAATGGAAGCAATAAAGAGACTGCAATGTCTACTTCTGGCCTCTAGGAGCATTCCAACTTGAGCCCTGAGCTGCCATGTAAAAAGTCAAAGCATCGCACTAGACAGACCATGTGGAGATGCCTCAAGACTAAATGAAGAGGGCCAGGCTGAGCCCAGCCTTTCAGCCACCTCCACCACACCACCAGACACACAAGCAGAGCCATCTTGGACCCTCCAGGCCAGACCAAGCTGCCCGCTAAACACCATGGAGTGACCTGTTGTGGGCTGCAGGGTTGTGTCACTCCCCCAACCTCCTGCCAATCATATGCTGAAACCCTAACCCCCAGTGGAATTGTATTAGGTGGTGGGCCTATGGGAGGAGATTACATGTAGATGAGGTCACAAGGGCAGAGCCCCCACGATGGGGTTAGTTTCCTTACAAAAAGCAAAAGAGACCAGGGTGTTCTCTCTCTGGCATGAGAGCACACCATGAGAAGACAGCTGTCTACAAGCCAGAAATGGGTCCTCAGCAGACACCAAGTTTGCCAGTTCCTACATCTTGAACTTCACAGCTTCCAGAACTATGAGAATAAACGTCTGTTGTTTAAGCCCCCCAGCCTATGATATTTTTGTTACAGCAGCCCAAACTAAGACAGACCCTAATCCATTACACACAGAGCAGAAGAATCACCCACTGAGCCCCACCAAACTTTTGTCCAGCAAAATTATGAACTGTAGTAAAGTGGCTGCCATTTGAAGGCAGAGAGCTATGAAGCAGTTTGTCACACAGCTCCCTACAATGGGCGCTCTTTGCTCTGGGAATCCCATAGACCTGGGCAGGACTCTCAGAGCTGCACCATGGCCTAAGGTTCTATCTGCTCACACTCCATCCTGCCTGATCTCCTCATACATGTCTGACCTGCACTGAGGTCTGAAGGCTGTGCCTGCATCTGTCTGCTGCTTCTCCCTTTTTCCCTTCATAGGTGTCCCCAAAGGACCTCTGACACATCTAATGCCGTCTTGGTGTCTGCTTGTTGGATGACCAACACTGACAGATCAATCCCACCCCATTCTACCAATGAGAAGACTGAGGCCCAGAAAGGTGATGACTCGCCCAGGATCACACACCCAGTAGTGATGGAGCTGGGTTCAAACCATGGTTCACTGGTCTCCAAAGCCCATGTTTTTTTCAAGCACTTTTTTGAGGCAAACCCTATAGAAGAATCACTCACTTTAAATCTGCTGATTTCACTTATATGTGGGATCTAAAGAACATAATAAATGAACAAACAAAATTGAAACAGACTCATAGACTCAGAGAACAGACTGATGGTTGCCAGAGGGCAGAAGGACTTGGGGATCTGGGTGGAAAAGGTAAGGGGAGTAAGAAGTACACATCTGTAGTTACAAAATAGTCACAGGATTCAAAGTGCAACATATGAAATATAGTCAGTAATATTGTAATAACTGTGTGGTTCCAGGTGGGTACTAGAAATATTAGGGGGAACACTTTGTAAAGTACATGATTGTCTAACAAGTATGCTGTACACCTGAAACTAATACAAAATAATATTAAATTTTAAAAAACATTTAAAATCTCATCTTGGTATGTCTGGCTATGACATAGATACACATGGTCTGAGACTCTGAACAGGAAGGCATTACATAAGAACTAGCCCTGGAAACTCGGGACAACTCATGTAGTACCTCCCCACACACTGGTTGCCTCAACCCCTCACTCCCACCTGGAGGCATGGAAGGCAGGACCTCTAACTCCACTTGACACGAGCAGTCGGAGGCTCAGAGAGGTTACTCAGAATTCCCAGGGTGCACCGTGGTGGAGTTAGAGAAGGACAGAAGCTTGTTGTTCCATGTTATGATAACACGGAATTATGGTAACACGGGAAATATTTGAAGGTTTGGGACGATGTCACTTTGTGCCACACCTATGTCTATCCTGGCTCTCTCGCCTGTTTCTTGGCAGAATCGTACCTTGGTTCCCAATGTTGTTTTGTTTCTAATGAATTTATTAGCATTCTAAGCTATTTTAGCCACCAGGGGTCCAGGGTCCAGCAACAATCTTCTGTAAATAGTCAGGTGGTAAATATTGTAGACTCTGTGGGCCATGTGGTCTGTCTCAATTACTCAGCTCAGTTATTGTGGCCTCACAGCAGCCACAGACTATATGTAATTGAATAACAATGGCTTTGTCCCAATAAAACTTTGCAAAAACAGTCTGTGGGTCAGATTTGGCCCTTGCCCTGTATTTTGCCCACCCTGTGTGGAAGGGCTTGAGAGGGTCAAGAAGGTGAAGAAGATGGAACTTGAACTTTCTGGGACAAAGACCCATGTACATCCATTGCAGTTCCCATGAGCCCAGTTATCAGAATTAAAGATGAAGGTCAGGGCTGGACTGTCGCCAGGGTGACTGGACTCAGAATCCCTGAGGCTCTGTGATTAGGAACCTGGGCTCTGATACCCTGAAGATAGCCATGTCATACACAACTCTGAGCAAGCCATGCATCCTCGCAGAACTCAACTACCCCAGTTATGAAATAGCAAAAAATAGTGCCCCTCTATGAATACAACGTGTACACAGCTCTGAGCCCTGAGCCTGGCGTTTAATAAATGCTCAGTCAATGCCATGAATCTAAAGAGGCAAGGTCTTCCTCTTTCTTTGTATTCCTTTAAGCCAGGGAACAATAGAAATGTCAAGCATAGAAAAAAAGGCAAGACCACCACAGCCCTTTCTTTCCCTTGGGATGGCCCCCGCCCACCCAGAAGTCTTGGGTCAGCTAGGACATCAATACTATCCACCAGGAGAAGACAGGGAAATGCCACATGGCTGCTGCATCTCACTGGAGACCAACAAAAGGGCAGGAAGAGGGGAAGAATGGGAGGCGGCAACTCAGAGCTCCATCCATCATCCAGGAGCCACCCTGACCTCCTGGGGCAATCATAATTCGTCAGAGCTAATTTAATCTCACCATTATGTTATGTACAGAAATAAAGAACTCCAGGCTGCGCTGCAGGGGGATGCGTCATTTCCTGTGCAGATCCCATCGGGCACAACAGGAACGCAGACGTCACGGGGCATTGTGAGACACCCAGTGTAGAGCACTCCAAAGGGGCCACCGGGCACTTCACTGTCTCCATGGTGTTGGGGCTGAGTGCCAGGGCAGTTGTCCAGCTGGGCCACCCCACCCCAACACACGCACATGGTCCTGCAGCTCACAGAAGGATGGTGCAGGCGTGATCTCTTCTGCACTTCACAACAACCACTGTTTTCCCCGTTGTGTAACACAACAAGATGAGGCTCAGAGATGTGATTTGGGGCAACAAGTTCAGACACTCATAGCAGAGACAGAAATAGTACTCAGGACTCAGGTCCTGACTCCAAGCCCAGTCACTGTACACTTAAAAATGGCTAAGATGGCCAGTGTTATGCTGTATGTATTTTTTCACAATTTAAAATAGTAGAAAAGAGAAAGATAAGGAGGTTCAGGTCATCAGAAGATAAAGAAAAGAAAGAAATCCTGTTTTGCCAAAAAGAACAAACAATTGGCTACACTGATTAAAGGGCTTCCTCACAAGACCAGAAAGCCTGACCAGGTCGTCCCCTCTCTCAAATACTGCAGTGGCTCACTACTACCCACAACTACTGTCCAAGCTCCTAAACTTGTCAGATAAGGCCCTATATTACCTGTGGGACAGGAAGAAAATGTTCTCATCTACTCACAGGAGGGGGAAAACTCTTCCTGTTTCATCCAGAGCAAGGTGAGAGGAAGGAAGACAGCTAACTGGGGAGGGTAAGGGCACCAAAAACAGAGTAAAAAGGGGAAAAGAGAGAGAGATGGAGAAGGCTGCCTGAGGCTTAAGTGAGTAGTGTGGGAGTTTTAGGGTGAGAGCCACTGAGAAAATATTTGGGGAAGCAAATGCAATGTGAGTGAGACCAACGGGAAGAGAAACGGGGAAAGAAGACCTGGAAGGAGTTTTCCCTGGAATTGCTGGCCCCTCTGGCGGGCCAGAGTGCAGCAAATGATACAACACACCTTCAGTAAGTGAGACTCACGCTTTACGGAAAGTGCTGCAATGCCCAGAGAGGCCCACGCAGGGGCTAGGCTTTCTAAGCGCTGCCTCTCCTTTCTAGAGGTGACTTGTCCCTTCATGACACTGAGGTCTGCATTTATGCTCATACATAAAGCATGCCATTTCTCCCAGCCCTGGCTCTGGCTCTTCCTGCCCACAACACCCCCTCACCTGGTTCCCCCTGACTCAGCCCTGGTCTCTCCTCCTGCAAAGCCAGCCTGGGAGTGGTTCTCCTTCTCTGTGACCTCAGAACTCCACTGCTTTTGAGAGAGAACTGCACTCTCTACCACTGCCTTTGCCAAACAGCTTTATAAGAACTAGCATTTGTAAAATACCTGTGTGGTCTGCCTCCCCTACTAGACTTTGAACACCTTGAAGGTAGGTCGATGTTTTACTCATCTTTGTTCTCCCGGCCATGAGAACAGCACAAAATAGCTAGCCTGCTGCGTAGTCATAAAGGAAAACTCACTTAATTTTGGGGGGGCCTTGATATCCTTTCCCTAAAACAGGGGTCAAGGAATACAGTCACCGAGAGGAGCAAATAGTGCTGTGGACAAGAGAGGGCTCTGCAAACAAATGTAGGAGCGTTCTGGAGATCTCTAAGCTATTATATGACATCATTAAAGCTTTTATTTCTTACTCCCCAAAGGAGACAGTATCCTTCCATTGGGAGTTTCTAGATCCACAGTCCCCTTCCAGGAATGTGGCAGCCTGCAGGGCTGGATCGATCCCGTGAGGCCAGAGCCAAACTGGCAGGGAAGACCTGCATTCCTGGTGGACGTACCGCATCCTAAGGGATGTGTGAAAAATGGAGGCCCCAAGGTCAGGGCTCTCGGCAGCTGGGCCCCTGCCCGGAAGTCCAGTGATAGCTTCAAGTGACCGTGATGACTTCAGATCCAGTCTGGGATTTCCAGCTCAGCAGGGGTGAGGGGTACTGTAATAAGTAAGACTTTGGGGAGCTGAGCTGGTCCAGATGCCAAGAGGAGAGTCCCATCTCTTCAGCGCTGATATATTGATGGTGACAATTTTATGACTCAGATCACTGCCCCCCACTCCCTAGAGACTGGTGCCCAGGAGTAAAGAGGTGTCACGAGGTCTTATGGTCCTGGACGAGAGCAGCCCCCCCCGGAAATTACCAGGGGCTCGAGTTACAGCCCATTTTACCTGAAGAGATTCTTGCTTACCACTTCTGGGAGGGTTTGAGTCTCCCTCCAAGAGAAGGGTGATTAAAAACACATTATATCTGGGACCACTGAAGAAGAAGGACCTGGTCAAGCTAAAGAAAAAAAATACCCTGAACAGTTCTTGTTTTAAACGGAGGACAGACACGTTCTGCCCAGGTGGGGCAGGGCTGGGGGTTGGGGGAGGTAGAATAAATGCCAGAGAGTAGAAGCTCTAGGGAAAGAGATAAAACTCAAAGTAAAACAACTTGTGGCAGTGTCAGCTGTAGAGGGGACCAGAGAGGGGACCAGCCCACCCCTGAAGGTGTTCCGGTCAGCAGTGGCAGGTGCTACCTCCAGGTGGCAACACTGTCAGAGCAACTGGCATGACGGTGGCAGCTAACTAGCCTTCCACGTGACTTCCTTGGGGGACCCACACCCCAGAGTGTCCCCATCCATGCCACCCTTAGTCCCAAAGTATGTGTCATTGGAGGAAGATATTCTCTCCCTGAAGCTGCGCACATTATAGACTCAATAACCAAGGGACAGCACTTAGTAACTGGGAGGGAAAACTCAACTGGACAAAGAGGACAGCGGTCTCTTACCTAAGATGGAACAAGTAAATTATGGAAGTCCTATAGCAGTTCGTAAGTCTGAAACCCGGAGAAAAAATTTACAACGTTCCGGAGTTCAGCAACTTAGTTTCTAAAAATTCTGGATAACTCCATCCCTTTTGGTAGACCCTGAGTGTTGACCTGGGGTTTGATTATATTGGAAATCAGCACAGAGGTGAGCCGATGACAGAATCAAGGTCTATCATAAATTTTAGAATTGTAAGGGAAGTAAAGTGTTCACCAGTCTCACGTTGCTTACTAAAAGGATGACGCCAACATCCTTTTAGAACATCACATGTGATAATACCATCCATTAATAAGTTTAATTTAAAGGGGTACAAAATCTGATAATTTTCCAGACTCAATATTTATTTTATTCCTACTCTGGACTGAGTAATGTTTTAGGCATTTTATTGGGTTGGCCAAAAAGTTCATATGTTTTTCCCACACAATAGCTCTAACAATGCTTAGTTGTCTTTAATTTCATTCAAAACAACTTTGTTAGATTGTATTGTGACAGCTGTTATATCAGTGTGCATTAAAAAAAACATCAAAATTGGTGTTTTTGTGCAGCCATTTTAATATTGAAGATGGAAGAAAATATGTGACATTTTTGACACTTTATACTTTATTATTTCAAGAAACACACCCAAAAAAAGACTTATGCAGTAGTTTGCAAAGTTTCTTGGTACTATTGACATTCTGACCAAACAATTCTTTGCTGTGGGGCTGCCTTATGCAGTAGAAGATGTTCAGCAGCACCTTGGCCTCTACCCACTAGAAGCCAAATAGCAGGAGACAGCCAACACACTCAAAATATCCAAATCAGTGAAGGTATTGGTGAAAATGAAAAATGTGTCTTTCATTTTATGAAGAAAACATAACAGATTTTTGGCCAGCCCAATATATCCAATTAATCCTTTACTAAACCTGTAAGATGACACCATCTCTATTTTACTTGGGGAAAATAAAGCTCAGAATGGTTAAGTCACTTAAATAAAGTCACCCAGCAGTTAGGAGTCACAGCTTGGATTTGAATTGAGATCTGACTTAGCCCATTTCTACTAAGAGAAACTCTTAGTACAAATTGAAAGACTGCTAATGAGCAGTGTTTTGAAGGGGAAAGATTGTGTTTGAACATTAGTAGAAGCTTATTAAAATAAGACTATGAATATCTAATTTCCAATATATCAGATTAGGTCCTCCTCAAACACGTGCTAAAATATCTTTATACAGCTTCCACTTCAATGTAAAAAAAGGATTCAAAAAAACTTTAAACAGCTCTAAGATTAGTATGAGTTCATTTTATATGCCACTTCGGTGCTGAAGCTTAAAGCTGTAAGATAACATCATTAAAGACAATAGAGAGTGTTGAACCTGTGAGGGACACTCAAGGTCACCAAGGTCAGAAACTATGAAAATACGCTAGTGTCACAAGCCTCTCTGGGCTTCACATGAAATCCGTGCACCCCCATCTCCAGAAAAATGTTTAAAGACTTTTGAAAAAACCACACATTCATTCACACAGCATTTTGCCCACACCTTCATGGTCTACAAATTAAGAACTCCTCACCCAATCTCCCTTTACAGCTGAGAACACTGGGGCTCAGAGAGGTTAAATAACCGGCTCACGATTACACAGCCAGTTCACAGCAGAGTCCAGAGTCAGGATTTGAACCACAGCCTCCCAGTTCCCAGTGGGGACCACATTCACCGTTCCAAATTCAGAATAAAAAATTTCCATTTTTAAATGCAGCACGTTTTTTCCTAAAAATACCATTTCTTTCTTCATCTCTTTACATAGTCCTTAGATTTCATTGTATTTCTGTCGCAGTGATGACAGAATGGGGTCACCCAGGCTGTTTCAGGAGCAGTAATGACACGGGGGCTCTTAGCTAGAGGGAGACCATGAGCAAAGACATTTCATGACATTTCTTTAAAATTAACCTCATCTAAGAACTGAACCCAGCTGGGATTGAAATAAGAACCCTGATGGTCCCATTCACGTTTGGCTCTGGAGGAGGTGGGGACTGTCGACTAGGGAAAGGAGGGATAGATTATGAGACGTGGACAGTGTACTGACATGGCTGGGGAGAAAAATTCTTAATTTGAGTTTTTACCACCCTTTTCCACTGCTCCAAGACCCTTGTAGAAGAACAGCCTGCAGGCTGTCAACGGGCTTTGCACACATAGGGAAGGAAGGAAGGAAGGGATGCTCTCGGCAGGGCAGACACAGACCCTGAAATAGCACCAAGGGGAGAGCAAGGTTTCGACTCAGTGCCTGTGACAGAGGTGGGCACCCCACACCCGCCCGGCTGTACTTACTGTCCTCATCATTCTGATCCCTGTCCATGGTCCAGACGTCCAGCTGAAGAGGTTTCTGCCCTTGCAGTGGGCTCAGGCCTCCGGGATCTGAGGGACAACCCTTGGCCCCTCCCAGAACGACAGCCCATTGTTACCCGATTTGAATACAACAGAGGGAAATATCAGAAGGGAAGTACCTTGCCCATCAGAACAGCTGCTCTGGACTCCAGGAGTTCCTGGAGCTCCTACTCACCAGAATTTCTACTTGCCAGCCTCTCTACTTGCCAGCTTCTTGCTAGGTGCCCCTAGTCACCTGTGCCCCCATGGCCCTACAAGGTGGTCACTTTTATGATGCCCATTTTTCTCTGACTGCAGAGTTGGGGCTCTTGACAACCATGCTGTATTGCTCGCTGGTCAGAGGCAGACTTCTGAGTGTTGTGGGTGGGGTGGGGATACAGAAAAATGTACAAACCACCAGGATGTCCCTCCCCAAGGGAGAGAGAAGATCTGGGTGGGACCTCTCAAGTCTTGAGCATCAGCCTCGTCTTACCGGGAAAGAAACAAGGTCACACAGCACATTGTGGGCGCAACCAGCCCCAACTCCAGGCTACATGGGCCCCTGCTGTGACCACACCAACCTAGCCCCCTATGAAACACCTGTGATTTTTTCAAGATCTCTTTCCAAGCCTTTTGCACTGGGTCTCAGCACCCCTTCCACCCCTTAGAAGATTACCCTTCTCCACTGGATGCAGAGTCAAAACAATGAACACCTGGACCTGGGTCACCTGGGGGTGGAAGGAGGAACCTTGTGGGCTGGCTGCCCCTGAACTACATCCTTGGCAATGGCCCCTTACAGCTGGGCCTGGAGCTCCCTGGCCAAGGAAGCCTTCCTCCACAGAGCAAAGCAAGTAGCCTGGGCCCTGGTCTGCCGAGCCCAGCAAGGCCTGGGGGGCATGTGCGTGACAGTCCTCCATGAACACTGGTGACTGCACCACAAGGGATGCTCTGTGACTGATCTGTCACAGGAATACCACACAGACACAGCTCCAAGGTGTGCCACAAAGTGCTTCGAGTCTCTCTCTGCTGCCTTCGCCCTCATCATTCACTGCCCGCCTCACACAGAACACTCTGGAAAGTCTGTAAGCAGCAGCAATATTTGACAAATGCTTCTGAAATCCCCTCAGATGACTCAATGCCCACAAATAGGTTTTTATCATTGGTAAAAACACTGAATTTCTTAAACTTGAAAGTTATATATTTTTCATTGCTGTATATACATGAGAAAGAGCAGGATCCTGAAGAATAAATTAGTCTTTTGATACCTTTATACATTAAGCAATAATTTTAAGACCTTGTAGAATTGTCTCCATGGAAACAGGATATTTGCAGCTGGCTGTGTGTATATTTTACTCTAAACATAATGTGTGTGTGTGTGTGTGTGTGTGTGTGTGTGTGTGTGTGTGTAAGGTCTGTCTAGAAAGTGTCCAGCCATGTACTATGAAGATTAGAAACATTTACTGAAGAAGATACAAGAGATAAGAGACATTGTACACAGGACAATGACGCCTTAGTCCCCTTCTAGTAGGCACCTTGGGACATCACACAGTTCCTCCAACCGCCGTCAGCTGCCTCCATGTATTTTCCGGAATTTCATCGAGAGTCTAAAATCTTTTCCCTTTCAAAGGTGATTTTAGCTTTGAGAAAAGCCAGAACTCACAGAGTACCAAATCTGGGCTGTAGAGGGGGCTGAGTCACCTGGGTGATTTGATGTTTCACCAAAAAACTGCACGAGACATGATGTCTGAGCAGGTGCATTGTCCTGATGAAGCTGCCATTCACCAGTTGCCCATAGCTCTAGCCTTCTGATTCATCCCAACAGCTTTTATGGACAAATGTTCAAGTTTAACACAAAATGTGACGCAAATTCACTGCTCTACTAGTTCAGTCATTTTGAATGTGACAGCCACACAGTACACACTCTCACTCAATGGTGTCTATGTCCCTTGCTGACCAGCACAGTGAAGTCATCCTTGTTCACACATGTGCATTCCAATCCACTCTCCTTGGCTGCCAAGTTACATCAATGTCATGCAAACCATTCTTATTATATTAACAATGGCTGGACTTTTTCTGGACGGACCTGATGTGTCTGTGTACATATGTGTACGTGTGTGTATTTGAGCTGAGACTAGATAGATAGATGATCGATACATGGAGCGACTACCTGTGACTTACCTAAAACAACATACCCCAACTACATCTTGAGTACTTTATAAGTAGCTATAAGTAGCAATATAAACTTTCCTAAAACCCTCCTGGGCGTTTGAAAGAAACAATCATAGGAAATCATTTAGATGGAAAGCAGAAGGAACGGAATGTTAAATAGAGCTGAATGTGAAAGGGACCAAAAATCGTGAGGCTGCAAAAATGCAGACAATCAGGAGCTGTAGCTCGGGAACCTGGGAGTGGACATCAACAGGAGTGACAGTCCCTTGCTGCACACTAGTTAGGTGATGTAGTAATGTGTTAATAAATCTCTCTTAAAATGCATGGAAGATGAACAAACCAATTGCTAGACCTTTCCGATCTTGCTTAGGCATCAGGACAAGCCTGCTGCCTGTGACGGCTTGAGTGACTCAGAGAGAATAATGCACCCATCACCACACGGTATTCATGGGGTCAGGAACAAGCACCACTAACTCTAGGACCCCGGCCAGCATGAGACTAATAGGGTTCCCACCTCCCACTAGCATCAAAGGAGCATGGGGTGTGGGAAGAGAGGCCCCAACTGTGTGCCAGGCAATTTACCTTCATTTGTATCACTGCTGTCAATGTCAAAAAGTGGGCTTCTTACAGCTGCTCCCCCTGAACCAGTCCTCAGGTGTCCATGGACATGACCCATCGTTGCACTCTTCAAGCCCTGCACACTGTAAGTGCTCATGAAACATTTGTTGAATGAAGACAGCCATCCAAGAGCTAACTCTAGACATTTATTGTCTGAGAACCTTGTTTGTTCTTGGAAATAAAGTCTGCATAATCCCAGAGTGTGGTCTCTGAGCCTTGAGGCTCTGTCATGGATACAGGAAACATGTCGGGGTCGTGCACGGCTTTACAAGGGAAGTCTAGAAATCATGTGGCGTGACTGCCATCGAATGTGAAGGTGGGAGAATGCCGAGAGGGAAAGCTCAACAAGGGCCTTCAAGTATTTAAATGGCTGTCACAGAGAGGGAGAGGCAGAATGGAATCCCAGGACACCTATCCCATGAGCACAAATACTGAGAGCTGGTCGAGAGTGGGGGACCACCTCCAACTTACCGAAGAAAAAGAACTGGCGCTACAGTCCCTTTTGGAATGTTCCTGAAGGTCAAGTGTAGGGAGATGCTTCCAGTCAGCAGAAATTTCAACAGTCCACCTGATTGCGCATTTTGCTTGGAAGAAGTGGCCACAGGTAAGAGTCTAAACTACAGGTGAGAAACACAAGGCCCGAGGGCCGAATCAGGCCCTCCACCTTATTTTATCCGGCCAGGCAGCTTGTTTCTACCTGGCGGCAGCACTGAGCTTCTTGTCCCTAGTTAAGGAGTAGTTACATTTATACATTTCTAAAATTACATTCGGCCATTTAATGGCAACTGTAAGGCTGATGTGGCCCCCGGTGAAAATGTGTTTTACACCCCCGGTCTAAACCAATTCATGAACTGTGGAAAAATGGTTCGGTTGGATGGTCAAGAACATCACTGGAAAACTGCTGACAACAAGGTCTGCGGAAGAGATAGATTGTAGATTTCTCTAAATGAGCATTGAATGTGAAGACGTTTACACCCCATGTTAATGCTCACCAAAAGATGACTTGAGCAGAGGAGAATTTTCGTAAGCGAGTGGATGGCATGACCCATTCTGTGGACACTGGTGAGGCTCTTCCCTCAGCCACTTCTGCCATTGCCCAGTTGGTCAGAGGGGCAGGGACGGAGGTCACGCACAGGCTTGGCAACATGGGTTTCCACTCACCCAGGCTGACCTGGCCTCTGCTGAGTGTCCAGTCTGACGGAAACTGAGTCCCAGTAGGGCACTGTTCTGTGAGGTGATCAGCAGAGTGGCAGGTTGAATACATGGAACCACTTCCATCATGGAAGGAGTGGCACTTTGTTTTTCTAAAAGAGGTGCTCTGGGTAGAAATTTGCCTTCCCTGCACACGGTACTTCTCCCAACACTACCATCTCTGGACTTGACCGAGGTTTCTGGCAAACAGATCTGATGTCTAAGTGACCAGAAAGTTCACAAGATCCTCATTCAACAGTTCAGGAAGTGCCTACTGTGCACCCATCCTAAAAGGCAAACCAGTAATTCCTGGTTAAGAACTCCCAGTTTGAGGTGGGAGACAAATTCCTGACCAAGTACACAAAATGCAGAGGATTAAAGGCCGCAATAGTGGGGCAGACAAGACGTTCTGGAACATGGAGGGTTGAGTATTATGTGGGACCCATATATTGCAGTGGTCATGGCAGAAAAGGCACTGTTAACTGGGCACTAGTTAACACTAAACTATTGGATGAGTATCGAGTGAACTTTCCAGTTAAACATCCGACCTGCTTGCCAGGAACCTCTGCCTTTCAGCCAGTCTGGTCTGATGATTTCTTTTTCTAAAAGGCAGCTGCTCAGCTCTTGCTGGAGCCCCTGACAAGCCAGCCCTGCCTGCTGCCTCCCCATGACCCCATTTCTGTCCCCTGGCACTGGCTTCCCTCCCACCGAAAGGGTGGCCACCCAGATGGCCACTGTGTCTGTCCCAGGCTTCCTAATGAATTCACATGGGCTGGCCCTGGCCTCCTGCTTTTCAATCGGTCAATAGGAATCACCAAGGGCTCTGTCAATAATACAACCTCCCCGGCTCCACGCCCTGATTCAGGACGTCTCAGGTGGATTGTGCATCCTTTTTACAACACTCGGGGAAATCCAACACAGGTGGCCTGCATTTTAAGAAACACTGAGTGAAGGACCCAGTTGGTACAATTCAACATCCTAACCCTTTTTTCTTACAAAGGTCATTTCAAGATACTACCAATAAAAGTTTAATGAGATTTCCCACCATCTGTCGATT